AAAAGCTATACACATTTAGCTCCGCATAAATTTATTTTATTTTTTTTTTTATTTAAAATGTTAATTTACTCCGAAATGCACACTCGAGCATTTCGATTTGCGTCGGAAGTAAAGATACCCAATGTGGTACCAGATACATCGTGTGCGCAAAACTCATGTTCGTAGAACTTTCTATCCCGAGTGGTAACGCGAAACACACGCGAAAGCGTAGCACGAATTTAGTACTCGTTGTCAAAAGTTGCACAATATCCATGCTGCCACTTTGCCAGCGAGTAACTCGACAGTACGAGAGTTCGGCGGTCGGAACGCGTAGGTCGGGAAACATTAAATTCAGCGCCTCCGGCCCCTAATCCCGTGGAACGGATTATCACCGACTTCGCGTCCCCCGTATATATAGGGGTGACGTAAATTTGCGGGAATGCTCGATGGGCGCGTTTACACCGGTGTTTACAATTATATCTGCCGGGATATTAAGAGGCAATGCGTAATCGTAATGAGGGAAGGCCGATGAATGATGACCTCTTGCCAATTATTCATCGGTCTTGCCTTGCATCCGGAAACATGAATTGTAATCAGTGTTGTGCTTAGATGATTTTAAAATTAGATGGAGAAAGATGAGATAAAAATATATCAGATGGATATCATATTAGATGGATAAAGATGAGATAAAAATTTATCTTAGATAAGATGAAGATGATTTTGTTTTAAATATATCTAGATAAAAGATTATTCATCGGTTTTGCCTTGTCTACGAAAACATGAATTGTAATCAGTGTTGTGTTCTTAGATAATTTTAAATTTAGTTGGATAAAGATGAGATAAAAATTCATCTTAGATAAGATAAAGATGATTTTGTTTTAAATATATCTAGATAAAAGATTATTCATCGGTTTTGCCTTGTATCCAAAAACATATAAATTGTAATCAGTGTTGTGCTTAGATGATTTTAAAATTGGTTGGATAAAGATGAGATAAAAATATATCAGATGGATATCATATTAGATGGATAAAGATGAGATAAAAATTCATCTTAGATAAGATAAAGATGATTTTGTTTTAAATATATCTAGATAAAAGATTATTCATCGGTTTTGCCTTGTGTACGAAAACATGAATTGTAATCAGTGTTGTGTGCTTAGATGATTTTAAAATTAGTTAGATAAAGATGAGATAAAAATTCATCTTAGATAAGATGAAGATAATTTTGTTTTAAATATATCTAGATAAAAGATTATTCATTGGTTTTGCCTTGTCTACGAAAACATGAATTGTAATCAGTGTTGTGTTCTTAGATAATTTTAAATTTAGTTGAATAAAGATGAGATAAAAATTCATCTTAGATAAGATGAAAATAATTTTGTTTTAAATATAATATATCTAGATAAAAGATTATTCATCGGTTTTGCCTTGTGTACGAAAACATGAATTCTAATCAGTGTTGTGCTTAGATGATTTAAAAATTAGCTAGATAAAGATGAGATAAAAATATATAAATTTATTTTATGTAATTCATAATTAATTATAAAATATTTTTATAATTCTATAATTATAAAATAGAAAAAAAATGTGATTTAATTTTATGCTCTCTTCATCCATATAAAATCTCGATTAAAATGATTAGACATACTGAAAAAATTATTAAATTAATAAATATTTATTTGTTGTGAAAGGATTTTCTTATATCAAATAAATATTTTTTACATCAAATCAATATTTATTATTAGTTTCAAATAAATGATTCATTTTAGGCAGTATTGAAGTAAATACTTATTCGAATTCAACAATTTTTTTTTAGTGTAATGGATCAATTATTTTTTAGAATAAAATTAAATTCTGGATCTTGATAATATAGAGCGAGATATTTCGATAAATTCCCGTGAGACACTTGCGTAAGCTGCGAATATGAGGAAATCGGAAAATCAATTTTTCCTCACATTAACGATCCGATACATCATTAAAGGTATTTCCATCTATTTTATAATGTAGTGTATCAAGAAAGAAAGAGATGGATAGAAAAAAAGAGAAAGAAAAAAGACAGGAGAGAGGGAGAGAAGGAACTGAGGGTGAAAAAAGCGTGGCAGATTAAATTGAAAGCAAAAAGAATGTGTGCGTGTATAGAATATGGCATTTTAATATACCGCCATTATAATATCTTTCGTCATTTCCGCGTTACAACACTAAAAAAAATTATTAAATTCGAATAAATATTTATTTCAATACTGCCCAAATAAATTTATTTGCAACTAATAATATTGATTTGATGTAAAAAATATTTATTTGATATAAGAAAATCCTCAAAACAAATAAATATTTATTTGTTTCAAATAAATCATTTATTAAGCAATATTGAAATAAATATTTATTAATTTAATATATATAAGTCAATACTTATATTCTTCGTTTTTGAGAAGAATTTGGAGTTGTTTGTACATTCATTCTCCTATCTTATGATAATATGATAAATACATAAGTTATTGGAAAAGAGGAGGAAAATAGAATTAAAATATGCATAAAAGGAAAGAGCAGAATCACCGGGTGATCATAATTTTCTATAGGAATGCTCCAAGATCGCTGCGAATTAGATTATCGTAATGAGTATTAAAAGATTTTCCAGGAAATATTGAATCACGAATATTTTTGGCAAAGCAAAAATCAGTTTAAATTGCATAGAAGATTATTACCTTTCGCTACATTTTCGCTCGCGGATTTTATCGCTGCTTTATCGAGAGATTATGAGTGAAATTTTAGCCGTATCAATTTTCATTTTATAACCTTTGATGTTCTCGACGATGTAGAATTATTTCGCTGTAAGTGATATCGTTATTACGTTGGTTTTCCATTCTTTCGAATGAAATCAAATAGAACGCGATTAATATTAAATAAAATTTCTCAATTTAAAAGGAGACTCCTTTTTTCGCGAGATACCTTCTGCGTCTGACGTTTTTGTATGCGTTCCGCTGATTTCCGCTTCGCCAGATTTATCATTATTACATTTATTTCGATTCTTACGAGACAAATAACCCAAGATTGCCGTTCAATGGAAATGGCACCGAACGCGAATTTAACGATCGCGATCGGAGCACTCGGCGTCTTCGCTCATTCAACATCGCTTCGCGTTTTCCACAAAGGGATGCCCCTCCAGCTGAAAAACGACCCGCATTATGTCAACGAGAGCGCGATGATATAGACTACTTCGGAAAGTGCATTACCGGCGTTTCTCACGTTTGTCCTCCGCCCCAGGCTTATTTATCGCTCCGGGGCCGAGTCGCTAGCTTGGAGTCGCAGCTGCTGTCTGTAATGGAGTTGCGTACCGTCGTCATATGTGGAGCAAGAAGTTGGCGCGATGGGGAAGTAGTGGCCAACTCGAGAACAGATATGACGGAAGGGTGAAGAACCTCGAGCAAATACTATGTATATCGAGAGATGCATACATCGGGAGTGACGAAGAAAAATTCACCGGACCAATCGTTTCTTATACGGTTCCTCGGATGCTGAATACGAATCTGATTTTCGAATTATTCGATATTACAATTTTGAGGAATTTTTTATTCAACTTGCGAAAATATTCCATCTAATGATAATTCTAATTATAAAAATTTAATGAAAATGGAAAAGAAAAATTTGCTGCACATGAAATAAATCACTATATTCTTAACGAAGGAAATAAATTTATTATACCCTTATTAAAAAATATCAATCGACTATGAGTTCGTTCATGATATAAATTTACTATAAAAAATAATCCAGAAGAACATAAACCATGAGAAATTATTATAATATATGCCCTAATAAATCCTAATTTTATTAATGACAAATAATACAAATTCTAAAAATAATATAATTAAATTTAAGACTTCTTCTTATAAATATTTCTATAAATCGAACTAAACCATATCTTCCTAATTTTAATAAAATAGCAGCTAAAATTATTGACCCATACACTGGAGCCTCTACATGAGGCAAAACGTGCCGGAGAAGTTTTATTGCAATCAAAGTAAAGTAGTTGTTACACGGTTGAAAAATTTCTACTTTTGACAGATGTCCCAAACGGTCCACAGAAATTTTTCTGTTAATTTAATATAATGTGGATATGTTAAATGGAGACACAAATATTGTGTTATTTTAACGCAAAATAAATGGAAAACTTTGAATAATTTAAAATTAATTTTGTGTAAAATTAATATACTTTTAACTTTTAATGTAAAAATTAATTTAGATTTTATCATCCCCACTTATATTGTAAGATAGAAAATCAACGTTTTTTCTGTAAATTTTAACAGATAAATCTTGTCACTAGTAAAACAGAATATTTATTGTGTAAAATTAAAAATAGATGCACAAAATTTTTACTGTGTAGGATTTTCAACCCTCAAAAGGAATTTTTCATGTCGATTATGGTCAGTGTTGTGTTTAGATGATTTCGTTTTAAATATATCTAGATAAAAGATAAAATTATATGGCGATTCATCTGGATAATTTTCTAGATAATAATTTTTAAGACTATACTTAAGCACAAACACAATTATAAAAAAAATGTAAATTATAAAAGGGATATAAAAATATATGTATTCATGTTTTTATTTATAAATTTTTATCGCTTACTGCTTAAGTTCTACTATTTAAGTATTTTTATGTGCAATGATTCTAAACCAAAATTATTCTAGATAATTTAGTAAAAATAATAATTTTTTTCATCCAAGATGCAGATATAGATAATACATATTTTTATTATCTACATAAAGATAAAATGACGCCAAAGTTTCATCTAGATAATCATGTATACAATTTTATTTAGATAACAGCAAACACTCTGGTTATGGTTAATAAAATATTCATGATTAAATGGAATGTATTGCGGAAATTTTTTTAAGTCACTGAATACGAATCCAGTGTCAAAATTGTCAAATTCAAAATGGTGGATTTATATAAAAAAAAAGCATTTTTTAAATTTGACAATGTTGACATTGAATTCGTACTGAATGACCTAGAAAATTCTTAAAAGTTATTTAGTAAATCCTCAGTGACTTAATTGTAAGTCACAACTTCCAATAAACCATGTGACAAAATTCATGAAAATAGAGCCCTCTTTTGCAACTTTAATTCAAAATTTCTCAAAATTGTGACGTGACGGAGGAATATTGGAATTCAGCATCCAAAAACTATAAGAACCGACTAGTCTCGTTATGGTTAATTTTTTTTTGTCGAACAGTGTTATATATCATTAAACTAATAAACGGCCCGAAAACTGTTTAAAAATATACGCGATCTGCAAATTGATTCCTCGAGCGGAGACACGAGAATAAGAACGCAACGGTAATAAAATGGGATGAGAAAATCGGGTGAGGGAGAGAGATACTGAGAAATAAGGGAAATAGGAGGAAGAAACGAGCGATCGGGACGACACTTTGATCCATGGAGAATGAAAACGCGAAGTGCGAATCCGAAAGAAAGAAATCCACTCTTACGAGTTGCAAAAATCCGCTCTGCCGTCGAAAAAAGCGCGAACAAGGAGAAACCGCGCGACACTCGTAAGTGGAGTCCCAGCGACTCCAATAAGAAGCAAAGGAAACGGGGAAAAATCCAATTGAGGGTAGCCGCGACCTGGAGGAGATCGAGAGGGCGAAAAAAAATGAGGAGGAAGAATCGGAGGAGCATGACAAGCTTCGTTTAAAGGAAAATTGTCGCGAATAGCTGAGAGAAATGCGAAGATGAATAACATGAAGGAGGCGAGAAAAATGTTTAGGGAAAAGAATGGCTGACGGAAGCTCGGTCCGAGCAAAAAGGCGCGAACGAGATTGGCGAAACACTTGGAAACACCTAAATGCGAGTGTAGAGAGAATCGGGGAGCGCCATCGGGAGGATATAAGAGGCCGAAAGAGGGATGAGTAGGAAGAAGGTGGAAAACCGGGGGTGATGAGCGCGACAGGGAGAGAAATCGAGTAGGCACCCGGAGAGGAATCGAAGAAGAGACGCCACGTTAGTGGTATGTCGCGGTAGAAGAAGGGGTGGCCGTACGTTGAGGGAGGTACCGGGGGTTGAAGTGACGTCACAACCGGGTCGATACTCACTCATACTACTCACCGCGGCGACACGGTAACCTCCCGGCGATGGCGCACGCGCGCCTTTTACCCTTCTCACCGAGACTCGTACTCCGTTCCTGAACGCGCCGCTTCCCGCCATATTAGCCACCATGGGGTAGGCGAGAATGTGCGACAGGGGTGGCTCGGGGTGCTTCTTCTTCCGAAAGGTAATCCGCGCGTAATCTCTCTCTTTCTCTGTCTGTCTCTATCTCTCACTCTTTCTCATTCTCGCATTCTTCCTCATTCTTCCTCATCATTCTTTTTCTTTGTCGCACTCTCATCAAACCCTCATCGGGCACTTAGCTATGCTACACGTCCTACGCGCGCCCTTTCACACGGTTCGCCGGTCACGTGAGACCGGAAGGAGATCGGCGGCTTGCGGAAACGCTACCGAGAAGACGGAAGACTAGTCGGGAGGTGAAGACCCGGTGTCTACCTTAACGTTCCTAATCGAGACCGCTGCACGCATGGGACCGCCGCGACGGGATAGCACGACACTCGCGCTGGCGGACGGGTTCGCCCGGCAGACGGGCGAGCCGGAAAGACGGAAAGAGAAGACGGACGGGATCCGGGGGTGGTGGGCCGCAGCGGGCAGAAAGGGCGGCGAGGAACTCCAGGAACCGCAGCCGGCCGAAAGGGGCTGCAAATCGGCCACGGCAGCGTGGATGTCCCTGCTGTCGCTCTGCGACCGGATGTGCGGTACCGCCGCGTGGCTCGTCCCGGTCACATGCCTCCGCGGGGTGCGTGTAACAAGCAACGGTGTTCGCCTCTCTCTCTCTTTTGTGTACTCCAATATTCTGTATATATGTGTATATATTGGTCTTGGGAGGGTGTATGTAAGTTTGGTGCCTGTGAAGAATAATCGCGTTGGTGAACGAGCCTCCGAGTCTCGAGGAGGCTCTTCTTCTTCTTTGGTAAAGGTTATATAGGAGTTTGGTGTGTGAGAGATGCCGATTAGCAGCCTGCATTATGATCAATGCGCGCGCGCAAAGATTTACGACGGCGTTTGTGTGTACACGAGAGAATTTTCTCCTTCTTCAGTTTACCCGGAAAATCATGGTAATTGTGCGACAATGTGGTATTGGAATCAGAGTTTCTCTGATTAATATTTATCACGAAAAATATTAATATGTAGTCAACTTTACTATGTACATATATACTATGTACTTTTTTGTGGTAAATATTAAGCAGAAACTCTTATAAGACCATAAAATACACAAACACGAACTTCCAATACTAAAAATAATAATAGTAAAATTTACTATGTACATATTAATAGTTTTTATTGTGGCAAATATTCATCAGAACTCTTATAAGATTCTTCCAATACCATAAAATACCAAACACGAATCTTCCAATACCAAAAATTTTGATAATAAATTTTACTATGTACATATTAATAGTTTTTATTGTGGCAAATATTCATCAGAACTCTTATAAGATTCTTCCAATACCATAAAATACCAAACACGAATCTTCCAATACCAAAAATTTTGATAATAAATTTTACTATGTACATATTAATAGTTTTTATTGTGGCAAATATTCATCAGAACTCTTATAAGATTCTTCCAATACCATAAAATACCAAACACAAACTTCTAATACCAAAAATTTTAATAATAAATTTTACTATGTACATATTAATAGTTTTTATTGTGGCAAATATTCATCAGAACTCTTATAAGATTCTTCCAATACCATAAAATACCAAACACGAATCTTCCAATACCAAAAATATTAATAGTAAAATTTACTATGTACATATTAATAGTTTTTATTGTGGCAAATATTCATCAGAACTCTTATAAGATACTTCCAACTTACCATAAAATACCAAACACGAATCTTCCAATACCAAAAATTTTGATAATAAATTTTACTATGTACATATTAATATTTTTATTATGGCAAATATTCATCAGAACTCTTATAAGATACTTCCAATACCATAAAATACCAAACACGAATCTTCCAATACCAAAAATTTTGATAATAAATTTTACTATGTACATATTAATATTTTTATTATGGCAAATATTCATCAGAACTCTTATAAGATTCTTCCAATACCATAAAATACCAAACACGAATCTTCCAGTATCAAAAATATTAATAATAAAATTTACTATAGTAAATTTTACTATGTACATATTAATGTTTTCATTGTGGTAAATATTAATCAGAGAAACTCTTATAAGATTCTTTCAATACCTTATTGTCTTACGATTACCATGATTTTCAGGGTAAATTCTAAGAGAAAATTCTCTCTGTGTAACGTTTGTTGAATTTCTGCTAGCTGGGTATATGAATTTATATGCTTTAGAGCGCGCGTGAAAGGTGCGTTTTTCCTCGATAATCTCGAGATGAGAGATGTGCGAATCCGGCTGAAATCACGGTCAATAAGCGTGCGGGGATTTACGGCGCTTGTGTTATGCCAAAGTGACAGATTGATGAGTTTCCGCGAGACGCCGCGTGCTTCGTTAACGGCCTCTCGTGCTTTCGAGAGGCTCTTGATGGGTTTTAGATTTAGACATCGCATTTAATGAAAAAAATATATTTGTTCAAATTTCTCGAATTAAATATTCCGCAATTTCATTATAGCGCGCATAATCATATAATCATATTAAATAAAATTAATATGAAGTTTTCTTTAATAATTAAAGCCACTGAAGTAACAATTTCTTACACTTAAAAATGCATGATTTTTATTGCTTGTATTTTTATAAGATATTTATTAAATATAGAATATCTATAAAAAGAGAAATTTGCTTTTAACAAAACTAATAAAAATTTTCAACATTTTTGTTTGTAGTTTTTATCAAAAATGTTATATAATTTACTATATACATTTTAATTAAATTGATCAAATTGATTAAGAATTTTTGCTTCAAAATTGTATGTTTATATCGTAATTGTTTTAAGTCACGTGTTTGTGACAAGTATTTCGCTCCTATGATCTTTTTCATTTTCTCTTATTTTAGTTACTTGAGTAATTCATATCACCATTTTTACATTATTATTGTATATAATAATCAATTATATTTATTACATAATTTTATTTATTATTATATTTATTATATAATAATATATCTACACGGAGAGAATTTTCCCTTAGCTGGAAGAATTTTATAAGAGTTCTCTGATTAATATTTAGCACAATACAAAATATTAATATATAATAAAATGAATGGAACATATTTGATATCTTATATTAATAGAATATTTTTTATTTAATTTTCAAGATAAATGTGAAGAGAAAATTCTCTCTGTGTATTATTATTAATATATCAGCACAGTCATATGATTTCCTAATGCACCGTAATCTTAGATAATGTAAGATGTGCGAAACTCGAATTACGTAATTGCCAATAGAGTACGCTATATATGTGTAGTTGAGCTGGCGTATGTAGTTTGATTGCTGACTATTGATTTAGATCTCGACTAATCTGTTTTTGATCAAGAGACGTCATCTCTGGACGTTTAATCTCAAGCCTTATCGCTAACAGTAGCGCTCCATTTCAATGACACCAGATTTTGTTCTTATTGTCATCCCAGCAAACACTGATATATAATTGTTACATTGCTATAATAAAACGGAATATAACAGGTAATATAACGTGTACGTTACATGTAACATCCATGTTAGTTGTCATTTCCCACTCATGGATGTAACATTTTAATATAACATATATTACATTGTAGTTATATTGTAATTATATACCAAATAGCACATTGATGTATTGATAAGTCAGTGCTATCTTGTGATACAATGACAATATAACTACAATGTAATATATGTAATATTAAAAATGTTACATCTATGAGTGTGTGGGAAATTACAACTAACATATACGTTACATGTAACATGCTTGAGTTTATAACATTTATATATTGTGTTTGCTGGGATATTAGTTGCAATAATTAGCCCGATTTGAAGATTAACAATGGCGAAAATAATGAATCATTGTTTTCTAGGAGGGCCGGGGGGAAGTGACAGACATAAGCGCAAGTCCTGGGAGGCAGGCACCTGCCAACCAGTTGCGCCCCAAGGAACCACCCCCCATGGTCATTCAAGGAGATTTCAGGAAGGTAGGTGACACTTGATTAACTCGCTGCCGATACAATGGACGAATTTAGTGCTCGCTGCGTCGGCAAACTTCAGTTGGCAAACAGCACAACCATAGATTCCGACACTCTATTGTGTTGCTCGTCAAGCTATCTCGACGACTCAGAAACATATTAGCATGCTTTAATCGTTATGAATTATTCCCATGATCATGATCCCTATTATAACAAAGCAAAGATATATAAAATATTTTTTGAATATTTTAAATTAATCAAGGTTTTATTGGAATCTTTCTTTTATTGTTTATATATTTATTGTATATTTTCTTATATTAGATTTGTTATATAATAATATATCTACATGGAGAGAATTTTATCTTAGAATTTACCCTGAAAATCAATGGTAATCATGGGATAATTTATTTACCATAATAAAAAATATTAATATACTTTATATTTTTATTGATAGATTGATAGAATATTTTTTTGTTCAAAAAATATTTGAAAATTTTGCTGCAAGTAAAAATGATACATTAAATAAAAAAATTGTTACTTTTGCAGGGTGTCCAAGCAGACTCAATGAAAAAAATTCCCTGACTTTTTGAGATTTTCCAAGACCGGAAATTAATTTTTTTCCCTGACTTTTTAGTATTAGTTTCTCCAAATATATAATTTGTATATATCTATATGATAAATCAATTAAATGTTGAATCATAAAATCCTTGAAATATTTTTGTCAACAATGAAAAGGTTCGAAAGTTAAAAAAACAAAATTTTAATCAATTATACAATCTGCATTATGTACCACAATCGAAACAAACATGTCACTATAAATAAACTATTTAAATAGTATCTTGAATTTTTTTAGTTTTGTCTTTATCAAAAATACATTGAAATAAAATAACACAATAATGAAAGTATAAATTAACAAACACGCTGTGGATTTTTTTTAACAACACAGAAAATTAGCGTGTTGGAAGTCAAGGAAAAGTTTATATTTATTTAATAAAAAATTTCAAATTATTGAGACAAATATAGAATAATATGAAGAAATCCAGATAAATAGTAAATTTCAAATTATTGAGACAAATGTAGAATAATGTAAAAAAATCCAGATAAATAGAAAAATTTCCTGACTTTTTTCCCTGACAATTCCAGATTTATAAAATTCTCTGACAATGCCCGATTTTCCAGATTTCCCTGACCGCTAGACACCCTGATATTATAAACTACTCAGGTTTTATTGGAATCTTTCTTTTATTGTTTATATATCTACTATATATTTTTTATATTATTTATTATTAGATTTGTTAATAATATATCTACATGGAGAGAATTGTCTCCTAGAATTTATTCTGAAAATCATGATAATCATGAGACACTATGATACTAAAAGAATTTCATAAGAGTTCTGCGGTTAATTTTTACCACAAAAAATATGTATACATATTAAAATTATTATTGGAGCATACTTCATATTTTTATTGGTAGATTGACAGAAAATTTTTTTCTTTAGTCAAAAAATATTTGAAAATCTTGCTGCATAGTAAAAATGACATTAAATAAAAAAAATTGTGATTTTTGTCGTCGAAACAACTTCACTCATTTATTCACTATGATAATAAAGCTTTTCTATGCATTTCGTAAAACGGAAGGACCTGCCGTTGCAGGTGAGCGGGATCAGTACAGAGATCTTCAAGCAGATCGAGACTGTCGAAAACGATCATGATGCTTCGACAGCGGCGGCCCTCGAAGCTGTCGAGCGGAGAGGCGAGATGGTCGTGCGTGTCATTGAGCCTCGGCAAATGGGTAGACAGGCTTCCGAGGCGGCGAAAAAATTTATCGCCATGCAGGTACGTTATCGACGTCTGTTTCCGACAGATTGTGATTCATCCGCGTAATATCTTGTCATAAATTAGCACCACACGCAGCGTTTTTTTCGTTACCGTCACGTAGCTCTTTAATGTTTTAGACAATTGCAGAACAATTTAGATTTTATCATCGATTGTTGATATAAAAAAAACATGCGGATACACATGTATTTATATATTTTTTTTTTACTGAATAATATAGTTTCAAAGATATATAAGCGAAATTCAATATAAAAAAAATGTATAGACTACAAATGCAGGAATGCATAGTTCAAATATCAAACTATGAAAAAAAAAAACGAAACACAGATTGAAACAAATCTTTGATTTCGATTTGTCAAATTTTTGTTTCGCCTTTAATAATAATTATACCGACAAAAGATGTATTTATATTTTTTTTATTGAATAATATAGTTTCAAAGATATATAAGCGAAATTCAATATAAAAAAATATATAGACTACAAATGCATAATTCAAATATCAAACTATGAAAAAAAAAAAACGAAACACAGATTGAAACAAATCTTTGGTTTCGATTTTTGTTTCACCTTTAATAATAATTATACCAACAAAAGACCTGATAGTGTGACTCAAACAAAATAATGTTGAAATAAATATTTGCCGTGAATTTAACTCCCGAAACTGAGCAAACAGGTATAACAATATCTGCTTGTATCGCACATCCGGAGGGAATTATTTTCACGACAATGGAACAATTTCGCGCAGCGTAATTTCGAATAGGCGCGCGATACATTTTGGTCGGCGCGAATTAAAAATATGTTCGGTCGCAATCTTCATTTCAGGATCCCAAGCACCCTATCCACTTTGTCGAGATAATCAAACGACCAGGACAGACTCTCGGTCTCTACATACGCGAGGGCAATGGCGTCGACAGGAACGACGGAGTTTTTATTTCCAGGATAGCTCTGGAGACCGCCGTCTACAATAGCGGCTGCTTGAAGGTGAGAATCTCACCTTCGAATTTTCTTCAACCCTCCGACAGTGAGAAACCGACGCGACCGAAGAGAACGAGGCAGTGAATCGTCCTGTTGCCTTCCTTTTTGCCGCAGGCGGGAACTTTAATTGCTACCGCTCGAAACAAACCGGTCTATTAGGACTTGGAACCTATTTCGGGAGCCGCGACATCGATGGGGCGCGAAAACCCGCCGAAATTAAATTTATACTTTTGCACCCTTGACATTTCGCGAATCCGGGCGAATCGATCGTGTGTACATATCAGGGAGTGGGGACGTTTATTTTGTCTTCGTTCTCGTCTCTCGCGACTAGAATATCGTTCCTTGTCTGCACGTCCGTCAGTTACTCGCCATCATGCACTCGCACTTGCAGGTGGGCGATGAGATTCTGGCGGTGAACCTGGTCGACGTGACGCACATGAGTCTGGACGACGTCGTCATCATCATGTCGATACCCAGGCGACTCGTCCTGGCCACGAGACACGGTCCACATCAACCGGTTTCGCATGTTCGCCAGTCCGAGCACAAGGCGCCACCCGTGGTAGTCATCAAGAGGGAATTGAACGAGGACGAGAATGACCACGTGACGAGTAACCATGTCAGGTATTGCGTTCGCAATATTCGTACATACAGAATTTGTTTTCTTGTTCAAAACGGTCCCCGTTAAGATTTTTGTGTTCAATATTTCATACATTTGTTGGTTTAACATATTACTGTTTTGTTAATTGAACTTAAATGTTAAATATACATATAGAAGGCAACAAGAACTAATTAAGTTCTGTTATTAATATTTATTTGTGGAAAAAAATTTCTCTGTCTAATATTTTGTGTTAAAAAATTTTTTTCCACAAATAAATATTAATGACAGAACTTAATTAGCTCTTATTGCCTTCTATGTGGATATTAATTTTTAAAGAGCTGTTACAAATTATATTAAATGTTAAATTATTAAAATAACTGACAAAAAATGTAAAGATAACACAATACGCGTCTATTTTTAATTTTACGCGATAAATATGTTCTGCTTTATTGGTGACAAGATTTGTCTGTTAAAATTTTCAGGAAAAAATATTGATTTTCTATTTTATAATATAAGCGGAGATGATAAAATTTAAATTAATTTTTATAGATTAAAAGTATGTTAATTTTACACAAAATTTATTTTAAGTTATTTGAAGTTTTGCATTTATTTTGTGTTAAAATATTAACACAATATTTGTGTCTCCATTTAACATATACATATGTTAAATTAACACAAAAATTTCTGTGGACCGTTTGGGACATGTGATATCTGTTTTTAGCAGACATTTTTCAACTATGTATTTATATTTCGAATTCCCGTAATAATTCAAAAATAATACGCGATATCTCTCTCATACACGCAAATTGATCATTTCAACACTGAAAAAAATTTATTGATTTCGAATAAGTATTGATTTCAATACTGCCAAATAAATCATTTATTTGAAACTAATAATATTGATTTATTATGAAAAATATTTAATGATTTATTTGGAAGTATTAAATAAATATTTATTAATTTTGTCAACTTTTTCAGTGAAGATAAATCTTTTATATATAAAGATAAAGTTCTTTTATTTAAATAAATTTTTTATTTTTATTTCCTTCTTATTTAAAAGTTTGTTAAAAATGTAAGTTGATTGTTAATAATTAGTATGTAATTAATTGATATTCTGTAAGAGGGGAGAAAGAGAACAAAATCTGTTCATTATATACTCCGATAGTTTCGACGTTGATTATTTATTGTCTTTACCATAAGAAAAGAAATAATTAAATTATTTTATATATGTTTTATGAATTCTACATAGAGAGAATTTTCTTTTAGAATTTATCTTAAAAATCGTGGTAATCGCGCGACAATATGATATTGAAAGAATTTTATAAGAGTGTGTGTTTCTCTGATTAATATAATATAATATATACAGGATGTATCTAAATAAGCATGAAAAATTTTAGAAGGTGATTCTTTGTCGAAAATTAAGAGGGGTTTCTTATATAAACTTATATACCTTTAAACTCCTCCCTGAGGAATTTTCTAAAAAGATAGATAAGAAATTAAATTTTGAATATTTTTCATGAATAAAAGAATATTTCTTAATATTTAAAACTTCTCAGAGAGGGATATAAGAGTAAATGTTTATACAAGAAACCTCCCTTAATTTTCAACAAAGAATGTTTGCATTTATTTAGATACACCCTGTATATAATAATAATATAAAATATATATTATAATATTATATTTAATATTTTTTATTGTGGTAAATATTAATCATAAAAAACATACAAAATTCTTTTTCCAATACTAATACATTGTCCCACAATTACTATGATTTCCCGGGTAAATAAGAGAAAAGTTAGTACTTTCGAATCTTTCGTGTATGAAATTCGAAATATTTTGATGTCTTTGTTAATTGATTACTCGCCAGTAAGAATAAAAAATTAAAAGGACGGTTTTTGGATATTTTCAATTTTATCTATTTTTTAACATAAACAATAATACAATTTTATGATTTAAATGATTATTTCTCATCTTTTAGTTTGGACAAAGAGCAAAAGAATGTTTTCTAAAAATATAAATATAATAGAATTTTTGTTTTACAAATTAAAAGTTTTATTTAATAATTATAATTATTAAAGAAAACTTTTAATTTGTAAAACAAAAATTCTATTATATTTATATTTTTAGAAAACATTCTTTTGCTCTTTGTCCAAACTAAAAGATGAAAAAAAATCATTTAAATCATAAAATTGTGTATAATGTTTATGTTAAAAAATAGATAAAACTTGAAAATATCCAAAAACCGTCCTTATAATTTTTTATTCTGTAAATTAAACTTATTAAATTCGTAAAAAAAAAACGATCAATACTGGACTACAAAAATTAACACCACTTTAATTATATTGACACCTTAAAAGAATTAATCATTTGATAAAGACCTAAACCACAGGTCGAAACGTCATGAATTAAATATATAAAGAAAAATGTTTGTAGTCCAGTATTGGTCGTTTTTTTTTTTTTTCACGAATTTAATAAGTTTAATGAAACTCGAAATTCTGACATGCAGAGATGGCAGTAGCCGAAGACGAGGCGACGGACGCGAAATGTTGCCGTCGCGATCTCGACTCGGTCTCACGGGTTTGGGATCAAGCCAGGACCTCGGCTCGAGCAACGGTGATCTCTACTATAATTCACGGCCGGAGGGTCACTGGTCCTATCAGCCGCCACCGCCGCCGGTTATCACGCACCAGCCGAAACCTTCGTCGACGCAACACTTTCAACCGTACGAGCGCGGTTATCCGAAAACGTTGGAGAGCTTAGCCGAGAAAGTAAGTCTTGCGCGATGTCACATGCGCCGATACAGAAATCTTTATGCGGATCGAGATCCATCAGAACGACGGAAAATGTATCTCCGAAGAGATGTCACTCTTCGAGACGAGTTAAAAAAGCAAAAGATTGAAGAAACAATTTTTTCTTTAAATTATAATAAAACAAATTTTTGCAACTCAAACTCTTTCACAATTTTAGTAATTCGAATTATTTAATATATGACACAATTGAAAATTGCTGGTTGCCTAAATAAAGTATTGGAAATTAATATACATTTCTTTCCTCATTAAATATTAATATTATATGTGTTTTAAGATAATAATAATTTTCCAATATTATTTAGTATTTATGACATAAGAGATTCGCGAATTAATATCATTATGATATTATTTGTCTTATAATTAATTTGTCTTATAATGAATTTTCGATATTTTGTCGTGTCTATGATCTCGATCCGATGTAGTTATATGCATAGATGTTCTAGACGATGTGGATCGAGCACCATTTCACACTTGTCTGCACCAATTCGATACTTGTTTGTCCTTCACTGTCTCCAATGAATGCTACTTTACGACTGAAAGAAAGTGGTGAACTCGTGGCAATGTCTCGGGACACTTGTTGTCGCGATCTCCGAGTCTTTCGGATTATTCGAATGGAAAAGAATCAGCAAAACGAGACTTTGATATTGCATCCCAAAATTTAAATACATTGCAAAATCGCAAGTCACTTCTCAAAGTGTTTAGTTGTTTACGATACAACGATAAATAAGATATATTAAATATATATTAGAATGTGTCAAACAATTTTTTGTTTTATTTTTGCCCGCATTCCAACTAAAAAGTTTGCCAGTGGAAAGATAATAATGACTTCTATAACAAAGTAAACTAAGGACGCAGTAAAAAATTAATAAAAAATTATTTAAAAAATTAAAAGAACGGTTTTTGGATATTTTCAATTTTTATCTATTTTTTAACATAAATAATAATACAATACAATAATAAAATTGTATTATTATTTATGTTAAAAAATAGATAAAAATTGAAAATATCCAAAAATCGTTCTTTTAATTTTTAAATAATTTTTATTAATTTTTCTACTGCGTCCTTATAATTATAATTATAATTAATTATAGTTATTAAATAAAACTTTTTAATTTATATTTTTAAAAAATATTTTTTAATTGTATTATATTTATTTTGAAAAATATAGAAAAATTGAAAATATGCAAAAACCGCCCTTTTTAATTTTTTATTAATTTTTCTACTACGTCCTCAGTTTACTTTGTTATAGAAGTTATTATTATCTCCCCACTAACTTTTTAGTTGAAATGCGGGCAAAAATTGAAGAAAAGAAATTTTTGACACACCCTAACGTATATATTTTTTTATATTGAAAATCACTACCGAAAGCAAAGTTGTGGCGAAAATAAATGTCGGAAAAGACATAAATGTCTGAATTTTTTCCGGACGACGCGGAGAATCGATCCGTTCGCGTACCGACCACGTGTTTCATATGACTAATCGGTTCTATGAATGAATGCTACATTGAAATTAACCAGGATTTTACAAAGGTAAAGACAACACAAACTCTATCTTGATACCTAGACTTGTGTATGATTGCAATTTTCTGTAATGTTTTAATTGGACGCGAGTATAAATATACTCTCCCCCAACCCCCCAACCCCTTTCTCTCGAATATTTGACAACAAACGATTGCGCGAGTGCATGCATAACATTTTAAATTCCCGTTGGTCACTATCAATTTCAAAAATAAATGGCAAATTTTAATTTGTTGATGCACTGAAAAAAAAAAGACCAAGTTAATAAATAATATTTATTTGAATACTCCGAAATGAATGATTTATTTGAAATAAATAATAATATTTTGTTTATTTAAAAAAGCTTTTCTTATATCAAATAAATATTTTCCATATTAAATCAATACATTACTAGTTTCAAATAAATAATTTATTTGGCAGTATTGAAATAAATACTTATTTGAATTCAATAATTTTTTTTCAGTGTGAGAATCTTTTTAATCTTGAAATACGAAGAGATCGGAGTAAAATATAAAAGACTGTTGATACAATGAAAAAGATTTCCAAAGATTTGCACGTACATATCTATTATTTTTTAAATCGAATTACGGAATAAGTTATATAACATCAATTTATAAATGATTCATTAATTAAATTGCTTCTCTTGTAATCATAAAAATTGGATTTCCAGTAGAAGCTTGCGAAGGATAAAGTTCGATAGAGATTAATGAAAAGGAAAGTCCGCGGGAGGATAAATTATTCTGCAATAGGATATAATTAAGAGTTAGTAAACGGAACGAGAGATCGCGAGAAGTTTAATGGTAAACGACTGAAATTTTTAATTTCATTCTCCACGATGCACTGGTGCCTTCGTTTAACGAGTTTTTCTTAGAAGAAAACGTAACGCAAATTAATGAATATTTATATATGTATATATTTAAAACGTAGAAATCGCGTACACCTGCTGCCACTCTTTGTATGATGTGAACCCCAACTTTATATCTCCTTGCTATATAAGCTTGCTATTTGTTCTTTCGATTGCATTTCCTGTCTGTGTTTTGGAGAACGTTAACTGCTACCATGATTAATGTTTATCACAGTCAAACGATTATCGATTGCCAGTATATTCTGTGCGTAGCATTATTCTATATATGTATAAAGCTGTGAAAAATTTTAATAATTTATCAAAGAGATTACACGATGAAACTTTCATTAATTTATATGGCATATTTTAAAGAAAATATATATATCTGTATATAATTATGCGCAGAATTATGTATATATTTTTTATAAACTGTGTTCGTAAAAAAACTTCAATATTTAAATATATTAAATATATTAAATAAATGATATTAACAAGAAGCAATCGATGTCGTATTTCGACCAAAACGTTATCGTTGTAATTGCTACGATTTTTTACGCCAAAATTCCAATTTTCCAAGTTATAACGTATACATATGTATGTAAGAAACTGTAATAAAATATTGACGTAAAATATTTGTTAGCGGAAAAAAGGGGGAATATTTACAGGGTGTCCAGCAGAATCGATTGAAAAAAATTCCCTGATTTTCAGATTTTCCAAGACCAAAAATTAATTTTTTCCCTGACTTTAAGTATTATTTTTTCCAAATAAAATTTTTTTATTTAAGATAATATTTATATTTTTTTATTCAACATAATATTGATATTAATTTAACGTAATATGGATATGTTGAATGGAGACACAAATATTGTGTTATATTTTAACACAAAATAAATGTAAAACTTCAAATAATTTAAAATAAATTTTGTGTAAAATTAACATACTTTTAATGTAAAAATTAACCAAAAATATGTTAATTTTAAATTTTATCATTCCCACTTAGATTATAAAATAGATGCACACTGTATTATTTTTACATTATTTTCAGTTATTTTAATAATTTAACACTTAAGTTCAATTAACAGAACAGTAATATGTTAAATTAATACATGAATGTATTAAATATTTAACACAAAAATTTTAACAAGAAAACACAAATTTTTCTATTGTGTAACAACAGAGAAAATTAGCGTGCTGGGAGTTAAGAAAAAATTTATATTTATTTAATCAACATTTATTAAATCAACATTTTTTTCTGTAAATTTTAACAGATAAATCTTGTCACTAATAAAGCAAAACATATTTATTGTGTAAAATTAAAAATAGATACACACTGTATTAGTTTTATATATTTTTTCAGTTGTTTTAATAATTTAACACTTAAGTTCAAAAACAGAACAGTTATATGTTAAATTAACACATAAATGTGTTAAATATTTAACACAAGAAAACACAAATTTTTCTACTGTAATGCGTTAGAGTGCTGGGAGTCAAAGAAAAGTTTATATTTATTAAATAAAAAATTATTGAGACAAATGTATAGAATAATGTAAAAAAATCCAGATAAATAGTAAAATTTCCCGACTTTTTTCCCTGTCAATGCCCGCGGTTTTCCAGATTTCCCTGATCGCTAGACACCCTGATTGATTATTCACGATTGGCGCGAGCTTATTGAGGAAATTGATTTGATACGAGGCGTTCGTGGACGATAACTAAAATGTCCTTGTGTGATCGTGCGAGTGTAGGTACACCCCTTCTACACGGGGCCCATGATGCCCTCATCGAATGGCCGACGTATGTCGACGGGCGGCGGAATGCAATCAGTCGGCGGCAGACTGTCGGGTCAAACCGCGCAGTCGAGCCATTACGGCTACAGCCAGCACACCGGAAGCGGAAGGATCATGCCGAGGAGCGGTTCCGACCAGCATCTACCCCGAGTCGATTACACGAGTATCACGACGCCGGCGCGACATACCCTTCTTAGATCCAGTTTGAAATCAGGTTCGTAATGAGTTTACTTACCGCGGCCTGCCTTACTTTCCACCGGCGAATTCCGTCAGTGAATATATTTATATCTGTCTCCTGTCCTAGCCTCTATTTAGTCTCCGGAATTCAATTCCGAAGAGTACTCTTGTAATTTAATTCAAATATTTTCGAATTCAATATATTTTGTATTACACGTGCAGGCAATGTGGCACTTTCGGTGCATGTTTTCTGTGCCGAAAGCGGCCGATTTCCCCCGCCGCCATCTAGCGGCGACGCGGTGAGTGAATAAGCCGGTTTCAAAGCCATTATTTACGGCTGAGCCGCGTTAAAAGTCATTGTATACGGCTCAAGCCGTAGGAAATGTATTGAAACCGGCTATTTCCCCACCGTGCCGCGGCAAGATGGCGGCATGCGATCGGCCGCCTCGCGCACAGAAAACGTGCCGAAACAGCCACTTTGCCTGCACTTGCAATACAAAATAGTATGTGTATCAAGTGCGGAAAGTTGACAATTGATCACGAGTGCGGGGGATGAACGCATGAGCCGAAGGCGAGTGAACAATTGTCAACTTTCCGCACTTGATACACAATATACTATTAGACAAATGATTTGAAAAAATATGCAATAGATAATATATACTTTGAGTTTATATTCTCCGAGAGTCAAATTTGAAAGAGGGAAAAATGAGATCAAAATGAAGAAAAAATATACTAGACAAATTATTTGGAAAATTAGGAACAGGAAAAATTAAAACTGAAAAATTGAAGAGAGAAAAGTGAGATAAAAATGAAGAAAAAATCTCGTCTAATATTCTAACACAATTTTCTGTCATTTTTAGGTACATCAGCGTTGCGTTACAACACGAGGTATGGACAGACTGACATAACGTCTGCCGCGCAGAGACAAGGACAATTTGGCACCTTGACGAGGCGACACCGACCTTCGTTGGATTATGCCTCCGACACCGAGGCTACGTGCTCCAGCTCGCCGAAATCAGCGTATTACTATTATAGGCACAACATGAACAATCCGCCTCAAAGTAGCGTCGTATCGCATTTAGCTACTCTTTCGAGGTCACAAATCGGTCAGAGTTCCTCAGGTGAGTCGATATAATTCGGATTTAAATCACGTCTCGCCTTCTTTCAAAGATCGTAGCATTTAAATGTTTATTTTCATTTTAACAAATTCTCTACGATTTCAGCAAATATTGTATTTTTATTTTAATTTCATTAGTAATCTGATGTAACGATTAATTCATATTATTTAGAGAATCTTATCAAAATTCCGAGAATATATTAATTATTAATTATAATATGCAATATTTAGAGTATTTTTTAACATAGAGAACTATATTAAATCCACCTTGATATAGAGTTGCAAATGAGTTTAAGCCTTTCGATAGTCTCAAATCCAAATAGTCTATAGTAAAATTAGACTTTGACTTCATAAAAATTAGGAACAAGCTGAATTTTTGTCGAGACCTTTATATTCATGTTCTAATGAAATTCTGAAAAGTACCTTAATTACATCCAGGGCGTTTTTTTATGGAAGGTAAAAGAGGGTAAATTTTAGTTTCTTACCACTATCTCAAAAACTATCAATTTTTCGAGAAAAATATCATCAAAATTATAGCTCATAAAATTCCTACAAAAAAGTCATTATACTTTTTTTCGTGGAATTAACCGTTTTGAAGATATATGTGGTGGAAAGGAATACGTATTTTTTATGAACTACAGACGTTTTATTCAAAAACGATTAGTTGTACGAAAAAAAATATAAAGATCTTTTTTGTAGAGAATTTTATGAGCTACAATTTTGATAATAACTATATTTCTCGAAAAATTGATAGTTTTCGATATAATGGCAAAAAACTAAAATTTACCCTTCTATAAAAAACGCCCTAAATAAAATTAAGGTACTCTTTTCAGGATTTCATTAAAACATCGAAATAGAGTGTCTCCACAAAAATCCAGCTTGCTCTTAATTTTGATAAAGTTTTGCCCTTTTCGAGTCTAATTTCACTGGACCCTGGATTCACTTTGCCTCTGGCAAGACGCGGTTCTCTACGGGCGAGCGTCATAAATCACGTGATTTGTCACACAGGTTTAAGGTCAAACTCGTTACCACGAAGTGGTCGGACGTTGCCTCAGCAACCCGGTCTCAGATCGGGCCTCAGCACGGTCGCATCCGGACTGATCGATCAAGAGGATAGCGACGGCGCTCTGTCAGCGCCGGAATTGCCTTCCATCAGGCGTGACAGAGGTAAGCTTAAATAATAGAGATAGCATACAGCTTACTTACCGAGTGGACTGACCGCCTCGATAAATCGCAACAGGAAGGATACCATCCTCGCCGAGTGTATTCACATCGGATGAGTATCGCGCCTGGCTAAGTCGCACCCCGAGCACCAGCGCCCTGTACGAGCAGATCAGGGCGACCACAAGTAGACCACCTCGTTACACATACAGCGCCGAGAATATTCACGCAGCCGTCAATCAGGTATATCAGATTTCTGTAATCAGTCGGTCATTTTATCATGTTAATTTTGTTTGATATAGTTTTACGATGATGGATCATGTTTGATTTTATATATCGTTCTGCAGAATTTTATCTTGGAATTTTTACCCTGAAAATCAGGGTAATTGTGGGACAATATTGGAAGAATTTTATGAGTTTCGTTGATTAAGATTTACCACAATCAAAAATATTAATATGTACATATAGTGAAATTAATTGAACAATTTTATATCTTACTGTGAACATTAAGATTTTTTATTGTAAATTCTAAGAGAAAATTCTCTCTTTTGTTATTAAGATAAAATAATTCGAATCTTAATATAACTTAATAATACACAGAGAGAATTTTCTTTTAGAATTTACAATACAAAATATTTATGTTCATAATAACATATAAAATATGTTCAATTAATTTCTTAAATTTATATTATAATGTATCTCAATGTGTTTTATGTATCAAGAAATGTATTAATTATGATTTCGATCATTAAAAATCTATATTCTTTCAGTTGAAAAATGTATGTTAACAGATTTAACAGATATCCCAAACGGTGCACAAAAATGTTTGTGTTAATTTAACATAATGTGGATATGTTAAATAAAAACACGAATAGTATGTTAATATTTTAACGCAAAATAAATAACAAACTTCAAGTAACTTAAAATAAATTTTGTGTTAATTTAACATAGTTTTGTTAATGTAATTGCATTAATAGTCAAAATTAATTAAAAATATGTTAATTTTAGATTCACCCCTACCGATATTAAAATAAAAAATCGTCATTTTTTTCTGCAAATAACAGATAAATCTTGTCTCTAATGCAACAGAATATTTATTGCGGAAAATGGAAAATACGTAAATACACATTGTGTTATTTTTACATCTTTTTTCAGTTTTTCACAAAAAAACAAATTTTTTATTGGGGTTGGCTTTTATTTAAAAATTGTATTGATATCGACTTTTGAAAAAATTGTGTATATGTCATAAACTTATTTATATTTCATCACATATCTACAATATATTATTACATAAACTTGCAGTATTGCATATATGGTAAATATAATAAACCTTTGAAAATAAAAAATAAATAAATAAGTAAATTATAAATTAATGTAATCTGTATTCTCAAGACAAAATATTAAAGATAAGCTGATTTGCTTAAATCGAATGTTAACAAAGTAATCTCCTTGGTTCATAGGGTGATTATGGCACTTATGGGACGTACAGGCCGCTTTCGAGCACGCTCGATCGCCTGTCGACGAGATCGGCGTCGGCCCAACAGGTCAATCTCGCGAATCTCAGAGCATCGACGGCGATCAGCTCGTCGTGTCATCGCGGTACAACGAATCCAAGGCCAGCCTCGGTGGCGTCGAGCGCGCGCTCGTCGCTCGTGGGCCAGAAACCGTCGTTAACGAGCTCCGTGAGCCAACGCGCGACGTCAGTCAGGAGAATTAGAAATCTGTTGGACCTTGAATCCACGAGGAGCATACCTACCCCAACGCCTACCAGAACTCAGGGTCAAATACTGCTAGATATTAATCCTGCAGGTGAAACTAATCTCGATCATATTATAGTCTAGGAAAAGTTAGACTTGAAAAGGGCAAAACTTCATAAAAATTATTTTTGTTTTTTGCCATTATATCGAAAACTATCATTTTTTCGACAAAAATAGTTATTATCAAAATTATAGCTCATAAAATTCTCTACAAAAAAGGTCATTATATTTTTTTTCGTACAACTAATCGTTTTTGAGTTAAGCGGTAAAGTTGCAATATCTATAATTCGTAAAAAATATGTACTCCTTTCCACACCACTGGGCGCATTTTTTCGCTCTATATCTTCGAAACGGATAATTTTACGAAAGAAAGTATAATGACCTTTTTTGTAGGGAATTTTATGAGCTACAATTTTGATAATAACTATTTTTCTCGAAAAATTGACAGTTTTCGAGATAGTGGCAAAATACTAAAATTTACCCCCTTTTGCCTCGCATAAAAACACCTTGGATGAAATTAAGGGTACTTTTCAGAATTTTATTAGAACATCAAAATAAAGGTCTCAACAAAAATTCAGCTTGCTCCTAATTATTATCTAGTCAAAGTCTAATTTTACTGGACTGTATCCTATTTCGTCCTCGAGAAGAAGCAAAAAATGCTGAAGGATTGATTTCCTTTTTTTTCCACAGAGTTCCTCAAGTATAAGATAGAGAAGCCGCCGACTGTGGGCACTCCGAGCTCAACGAGCTCCCTTTTGAGTTCACTCGGGGAGACGACCGGTGGCGATTTCGCGAGCGGAGTCAGCGGATTATTATCGGTCCATCTATTAGCAGGACGAGGACTTCGAACGACTACGACCTCATCGGCTGCCACTACACCTTCCACTCCTTCCGGTCAGCCGAACTTAGGTGCGTCATTACGTTTCCGCACATTTTTCGGCTGACAATATTATTATTCGCTTTATTTTACCCCTATTTCATACACTCGAGTAATTTATATAATTGCTAATTTTCAATAGAAAAATCTATATTGTATACATATTATTATATGTATATTATTATATTATATTTAATATATTATAATAATATATGTACTATTTAATATATTATTAATTAATAAATTTAATATATTATTTAATATATTATTAATTAATATCTTTAATATATTATTATATTATAAATTCAATGTAATAATATATATATATATATATATAATTAGATATTATATATTATATTTTGTTGTTAAAATTTTATTGAAATAAATTGATTAATGTATGAAAAAATAATTACAGCTAGCTGTGGCTTGAGGGACTTGTACTGCGTACTGGAATGCGATAGGGTACACAAAGCACGAACAGTAGTGCGAACCGGCGATTTAATGTTCGACTGGGACGAGACCTTCGAGCTGGATCTCGTAGGCAATAGGCAGCTGGATCTGCTCGTTTACTCTTGGGACCCACAGTACAGGCATAAACTCTGTTACAAGGGATCGGTGCATTTAGCGAGTCTGCTGAAGGAGTCGCCGGAGCATCAGCTGGCTGTCAAAGTTGAACCGCGCGGCACAATCTACTTGAAATTGCGATACACCGACGCTCAACAAACTTTCCGTCGAAGAGGTCTACCAGTCATATCTTTAGCTACGAGAGTCGCGCCTCTTTTCGGAGTTGATCTGGATACAGTAGTAAGTTTTTCGTCTTTCATAGCAATTTTCAATTTTTATTCAAAAAATATATCTATATTTTTTAATATATTATGATTATATAATTTATATTATTATAATAAATATATTATTATTATATAATAATATTATACAATGTAATTATATAAATAATATTATTTAATAATAATTTTAAATATTTAAAATATGTATCTATAAAATGTCTATAAATTTTATAGATATATATTTTAAGGTACATATTCATATAAATATATAGATTTAAAAAAATAATTTTTGTCAAGATTTAAAATTTAAACTATTTAAATCATAAAAAATGCATTTTTTAAATAATTAGGTAAGTCGAGAAACTAAGACTGGCGGAGTTCCCGGTGGAGTTTCCACGGCTTTGGCGATGGGAGTCCCGAACATTCCGATTATCGTGTGGCGTTGTGTCGAGGAGGTGGAGAGAAGAGGGCTCGATATCATCGGTACGTAACGAAAAATTTCAAGAATGTCGCGACAAATGTTATCACGTTATTCCGCGCAACAGGTTTATACAGACTCTGCGGTTCGGCGACCAAGAAGAGGATACTTAGGGAAGCTTTCGAAAGGAACGCACGCTCCGTGAATCTGTCGCCCGACAACGTGCCGGATATCAATGTCATCACTGGTAATACGCGGTGCACTGAACAAAAAATTTGTTAACTTGACTAAACCTTCCGACTAAATATTACTTTGCTAATTAAACATATATAAAAATATTTAAATTAAATGTAACATATATTAAATCTAACAAAACGGTTATTTGACTTAAATATTAATATATGTTCAATTAACAAAATAGTAATTTAGTTGAAAGGTTTAGTCAAGTTAATCAATTTTTTGTCAGTGTGTACAAATAAAAAGAACTATTTCGCGAATAAATGACGATAATCTACGACTGTCATTTTCAGGCGTTCTGAAGGATTATTTACGAGAACTTCCGGAACCTCTCTTCACGAAGTGCCTCTACCAAATGATGGTCGATGCACTGGCCGTCTGTTTGCCGGACGACCCGCAGGGCAACGCTAAGCTTATGTTCAGTATACTAGATTGTCTGCCTAAGGTCAATAGGGTACGTATTCATGCGCGATTCAATTTTAAATGCGTTGATTGCAACAGAGAAATGAGAAGAAATAAATATGGCGAGATTCTCATTCAAGGTGTCCAGCAGACTCGATGAAAAAAATTCCCCGATTTTTTCAGATTTTCCAAGACCAGAAATTAATTTTTTCCCTGACTTTTCAGTATTATTTTTCCCAAATATATAATTTGCATATATCTATACGATAAATCAATTAAATGTTAAATCATGAAATCTTTGAGCTATTAATATGATGTTGGAAGAATTTTATAAGAGTTTTTCTGATTAATATTTACCACAATAAAAAATATTAATATGTACATAGTCAATTTTACACTATGTACATAATAAAATTAATCGAGTATATTTTATATCTTACTGTGGTAGATATTCATATTTTTATTGTGGTAAATATTAATCAAAAAAGCTCTTATAAAATTCTTCCAATATCATATTGTCCCAGGATTACTGTGAATTTTATGGTAAATTCAAAGAGAAAATGTTCTCTGTGTTGAAAAATGATCAGTTTTCCTAATTATACGTATTATTGATTGTCAATAGTGCACGTTGATTTACTTGCTGGATCATCTGGCGATGGTGGTATCGCAGTGCAATAAAATGTCACCAGCAAGTCTCGCCGTTTGCTTCGGCCCGGTGTTAATGTTGCATTCGGACGAAAGCGGACCCCCGCTCGATTTCCAACAACCGATAGCCGTACTGAAATATTTGCTGGAGATTTGGCCGGTCAAGTCAGGTAATGTACTTGTTTTTAATAACCTTGGTAAAAAGTTTGATTAATTACTAAAAACGCGGCGCACCAACACGAGAAAAAAAACCACAGCTCTGTTTACAAGCGTAGTGACATGCATTAAGAAGAAAACATTAGCTAAAAGCCGAGTAATCAGTAGCTAATTTCACAGACAGTTCGGAAGACTTCTTCAGTCGGTTCAACACTTCCTCGAGTTATGCCAGCAGTCGAGCGCAGCAGCAGTCAGCAGCATCTGCAACAGGCGCAGCAGTTGGTGCAGCAACAGTTGCAGGCGCAACTACAGGGAACATTGGGACGCACAGGGCTGCCTTGGCAGCAGCCACCCTCGCTTCATCATCAACCCCAAACTACGGCAGCCGCAGTCCTCGGACCCTCCATTCGTCCTCCACCACCGGTCAAGCCTCGACAGGTGAGTCGGGCATTTTTCGTGCACCTCTCGCACGATTTCCAATTTCATTTGTTATCAAGAGAATGTTAACCCTAAACAGTAGGCTCTGCCCTTCTCAATTGTTAAGTAAATTATTTTATTATTTTATTTATTCAATTACAACTATATTAAACAAGGTGTCCCAAAATTACCTTAGTAGGAAATTCCTATCAAGTTATTTGGAGAGGATTTTTCCTCAGCAAAAATGTCGGGGCGTCAATAATTTTCGCCTTGTGGAAATCGAATTAAATCACATTCTTCAATTAATTTCAGCAGGTAGAGTTTACTTTAGTAACTAAAATTGAAGAATGTAATATTATCTTCACAAGGCTTAGTTTACCGAAGTAGAATTTTAATTTAAGGTTTAGTTATGAAGATACATGATGGTAAAATTTAGGAACACACATAAAAATTAATGGCCTCTCTCGACATTTTCGCTGAGGAAAAATCGTCTCCAAATGCTCCCAGGAATCTGCCATTAACAGGTTTACTGTTAATTTTGGGAACTCTTTTTATAAAAATTTAAATAAATTTAGATATAAAGAAAATATAGACTTTTAAGAATGAAAGATTTAAAGAATATGTGACAAATAAATATTTAGTTTCGTTGAGTATAAAGTATAATATATCGGGTCAGAGAGACAGAGAAAGAGAGAGGGTCAACCTTCAACATTTTTACGTAAGTAATATATTTTACACTGTTTAGGGTTAAAAACATTGATTTTTCTAGTTCCCGCGAATTTATATATTCGAGTAATCCAAAATGTTGGAACTAGAAAAATCGATCGAGAATATGTCTGTCAGATATTCTAAACGTGTGTACTCAGTTTCCTTTATTCTCGCTTCTCTTCGTACTCTATGCATTGAAACATTGTGAACAGCATGGTAGGCAAAGTACTGATTCTATTTCTTCTTTGTTCGCTTCGCAAACAACCTTAATCGCGCGATGCGCTTCTATGAAATCGAATCTATGCCATTTAGTAATCATTCATTCGCCCTGCTTGTATGTTCATCAAATCACGTCAAATGTTGTCATTCATGATAAGATTTCGATCAAAGAACTTTTATTTGTAACAAACTCGCAAGCATCTTTGGTATGTAGTGTTTCGAAAAATATGTCATTTGGAAGATTGTTGACTATTTTTCAATCAATGTGACTCTAATTATTCTCAGAGATAATTTTATACATTATTCAAATTAAGCTAAGAAATTTATAAAATATTTTTCTACACAAAAATATGTTACATATTGTATTAAAATAAAAAAATTATCAATATATAAAAAAAAATATAAAAATAATATGTAAAAAAAATATAAAATATATAATATATAATATATAAAAAATATATATATTATATAAAAAATATGTAAAAATAAAAAATATATGTAATTTAAAAAATGTTTACAATTGAATTTTATAAATTTTTCTCTAATACAAAAAGAACGATTTATTGTTGAAAAAATTATTCCTGGCTGAAAAATATGAATCTCTGTGTTCTAAAAACCACTGCTAGCCGAAATGACTTACGATTGCCATTTATTATCATTATATTCATATCTCGCGATATAGTAAGTTTCACAGTTTATCATGTTCATATATATATATATATATATCATTTATGTGAAATACCTTCGTGTGCATGTCTCGATGTCGTATCTTTCATATTCATATATACAATACTAGGTCAATATATGATTTCCGTTTTGTGTATATAGTTTCGACGTCATTCCTATTATAATAACAATTTACGTTGTCTTCTTTATCTTTTTCTTTTGGGCACGTATTCTTCAGAGCAAGCGCAAATTGCCGGCTCTACCAAACCGCTGACAGCACAGAGACGCCGCTTCTTGCACAGGTATCATCGTTATTATCGTTTTCATTATCATGTACATCCGCTACTTTAGTTCGTTGTTCACATGCATGGCCCGATTCAGATATCAGAGAAACGTAATCATTATCATGTAACTCTCATTCTACCTTCATACCATCACGTTTTATATACAATCTAAATGTTACCGACGAATACTGTAAATACTTTCTTATATTAATGTAGCACATATATTTCTACGTATGTTCACAATTATCTTCACTTCCTGTTCACGACTCTCTGGTATCCGCGACATTTTTATAAATAGGAATTTTTCGCAAATATTCAAAAACTATTAAAAATACCAGATTCTTTCATAATATAAATTGGATAATATTTATTAAAAAAATAGAATTTTTTATGCCATTGCCAAGCTTAAAATTGGAAACTATTTATCCGTAAAATATCAGAGAATATCTCACAGCGATTCGCGAAATTGATCAAGTGTCTCAGAAAAATGTCAAAAAAATTATGCAAAATATTATTATATATCTCTTTCTGATCAGCATGTTGCGTTTAGATGATTTTAAACTTAGCTAGATAAAATATATAAATTCATCTTAGATAAGATGAAGATGATTTTATTTTAAATATATCTAGATGAAAGGTAAAATTATATGGCAATTCATCTAGATAATTTTCTAGATAATAATTTTTAAGACTGCTTATGTAAACAGTTGTAAAAAAATGTAAATTATAAAAGGGATATAAAAATATATGTATTCATATTTTTATTTATAAATTTTTATCGCTTACTGCTTAACTTCTACTATTCAAGTATTTCTATGCGCTATGGTTCTAAATCAAAATTATCTGAAAATTATTCTAGATAATTTAGTAAAGATAATACTTTTCTCATCTAAGCTGCAAATATAGATAATGCATATTTTTATTATCTATATAAAGATAAAATGACGCCAAAGTTTCATCTAGATGATTATCTATACACTGAAAAAAAAAATTATTTAATTCGAATAAATATTTATTTCAATACTGCCAAATGAATCATTTATTTGAAACCAATAATATTTATTTCATATAATAAAATCCTTTTCAAAACAAATAAATATTTCTTTCTTTCAAATAAATGATTCATTTAGCAGTATTGAACTAAATACGTATTAATTTACTCATTTTTCAGTATATATATAATTTTCTTTAGACAACAGCAAATATACTGCTGATAAAAAACGTCTCTTTCGTTTTTATAATATATAAAAAATTCACAACATAATATATAATAAAGTTCACAATGTACGAAAAAAAATGGTACATTGAATTTCAAAAGATCTGATCAATTTCGCGTAGAAAAACAGCCGGGAATCTCCGGCGTGGTGCGCAACTAATCGACACACCTTGACGGTGGGTCCATTTTGTCCGCGCAGGTGATAGTCTCGTCTCCCGGTTCACCTAGCAGCGAGGAGTCCGAGGCCTCGCCGGAGCCGATTAACAAGAGCCTGCTGGGGAATTTAGGATACGAGAAGAGCGACGAGACGACGACGACGACGACGACGACGACGTCGAGCGCGTCGGCCGGGATCAGCGTCGGCGTCGGCGCCGGTGCTGGCGTCGAGCAAATCACACCGACGAGCAGCGTCGACACCGAAGAGGGCAATCCTCACCATCCCGAAGAGGGCGAAAAAGGCGTCGAGGGCGACGTCGAGGCGAGCGACGACGATCGGCACCAGCACATACCGAAAACGCATTAATAATCGAGCGATGAAACGCAGTGAGTAACGAAGAAGAAGCTGCTTCGTGCTCTCCTTTTACGTACTATTGCTTCGGCCATCGAAGCCGGACGTACGAGTCGATCTAAAATTCAAAACGGAATTATTACACGAATTAGATTAATTTCACGAGCAAGATTCGTCCTGTAAATGTTCTCGGATTAATCGCTTAGTTGTATATATATAGATGGAAAACATGTCAAATGTCATCTCGATCTGTGTTGCACGGTGCTATACTAAATACTCGAGTGTTGATTCGTAAGAATCCTTGTTGCACGTTTAGATCGAGAGCTATCGCGCTATTTATTGATTTTAGTCAATTGTGTTGGGGGTATGGTTGCTTGCGAGAAGGATTTGTTAAAGTTAAACGAAAAGGGAACAAAAAAGAAGAAGCAGAAGTAACCTCGTTTAATCGGTTTATGCTATAGCGAAATTAAAACTAATGATTAAATTTGTCTTGTTTTTAATCGAAATTGAGTTGCGTAAAGAGATGATAAAAAGTACGAAGATTTATATTGTTAAAAATATATATGAAACGCGCGATAACGCATTACTGGGAACGAAGCTATCGAGGTGCTACGACTGTTACCTACTGTTAGACACAGATATTCGTTCTGCCAGAGGCAACAATAGCCCGATGAATAATAATGCTAAAACAAGTTCCGTAACTAGTTGAGGAGGGTATATTTTAGAAAGCGGCTGCTGGGAAAGCAATTTCAACAACCGAACACGTTTCAGTCCTCCACACATTATGCAAATTTCTTCGAATAATGGCTTTCCGAGTCATGATCTCTCAAAGCAGATGGAGATGGATTGCAAATAAATGCATCGCATTGCTCTTTTCCGGGAGATTACATAAAGATGAGGAAGAAAGGAAGGAAGAAAAGTGACAGGGACGAGGTTATGTCCCTCCGCGATCGTCATCGTCGGCATCTCACCATCATCTCAACATAGACACACAAAATGATACACAACACACAGCTGACTTAAGCGAGCAAACCGGTCAACGAGGATGCGCACGTGGCATACATATAATAATCAGTTTATATGCGAAATATATACTATATATATATAAATATACATATATATATATACATATTATATATACATACGTAGACTAGTCACGATATTACGTGTGCTTTTGATAAAAAACTATTACTTGTAGCGTTAACTAGCTCTCGTATACAGAAACAAAAGGATAAACATGAACAAATCGACAAACAAACAAAATAAACAAACAACTAAACTAGACGATATACATAATATACATATATATATAAAGATGTTATATATATACGTTGAAGAGTGCGAGGAAGACACACACGACTGTGTTTCAACATGTCGACAATAGAACGCATAGGGATCGTTTTGGACATGTTTGCATTCAAGGGTATATATATCGGATAATCAACTGGCTATTGTATATCGATATCGTGTCGATTGATTGTCCGAGATTAGATCGAAAACGTAGAAGCAGGAGAAAGAATGGGTTATCGCGAGAGAAACTGACCGAAAATGATAATAATTACGAGTAAACAAAGAAAAAATGCTACGATTAATTAACTATACTTTTAAAAAGAAAACGTAAAAAATAGCCAGTATTATTATACGTCTAAAGCCGTAAAATGATGATCGCGCGAAAGAAAAAGTGCGAATGAAAGAATGAAAGGGAGAGCAAGAGCGGAGAGATGTGCGAATAGTTCTAACATTTAACAAAAAATATAACAAACGATTTTAAAGAAGACGAGACAAACGGATGATTAAATCGTAGACATGCAAATGTCGTTCTTGTCATAGTATAGACATTAATAGTAGCGACACTCCGTAATTATTTTGGAGTCTGATTTTCATTGCGCATGTCATAGCCGCCATGTTGTTAGCCGAAACATATGCACAGTGACATAACCTACTCGGACGCATATGTTTTGTATTGTGACAAGTTAGATGATGAGTTGAGCACGCGAACCCACTAACTTTTTACAAAAAATTTATTATATAACGAGTAAAATGAGTGCGAGGGCGTATATTGTGCTGCCACAAATTGTCCGAATCGCGGGAAGAACGCCACCATTTTAGTCTAACAATATGGCGGTTGGTCTCAAGGTCAAAAATTGAGTACATGAAGATCAAAGGTACCGCTATGTACTGTCGCTACTATTAAATGTCTATACTATGCCCTTGTTGAGAACAATCGGGCGACGATATGAGAGATTCGCACTACGAATTCGGGACGAAGCCACGAGCGGATCGCGATCCGCCTGTCATCGCCATAATTAATTAATTCATCACCGTCGCCGTCATTAAAACCGTCGTTCGATCTCGCGGTTACTCGTGGTTTGGTTCGCAAACATAAAAAAAAAAAACAAGATGCACTGTAATCTGTATAAACACGCACGTATAAATAGATATATATATAAATACATCTGTACTCTCTCTTCTTTTCGCACAGTTAGTGTTAACGCGCGGAATATTTAATGAAGAGGGAAGGAAAGGAAGTAGCCGCGAAATTGAGACTAATTGTATAGTTGAGTGTAATGTGTATATATACATATATATATATATATATATATATATATATATATATATTGTATGATTCGCTGTAATCCTAGTTATCTTATTCAGTCCCAGATCGTGTGACTGTCGTTCGATGTGCATGTGCGAGGAAATGCCGGGTACCGAAATAGCTTTTTTTTTCAAGACAGTAGTAGAAGAAGTTTCCTTAACTCTACGTAGAAGTAGAACTTGCGAATAAATCTATTCTCGATTCATTTTTCTTTCTTTTACCGATATATTACATTTTCATTATAAATGATCCTTTAACTTTTACTCGCAGAGATCTAATAAAATATTTATTTTATTAAATTTATTTATGAATATATATTTATTTAAAAATATTTAGATATATAATTATTTGAGAAATTAGTTACTGCAAATTTTTAATGCTCTACGTCACAACTTTTCAATTTGTGTCTACATGGCAAATTCTATAATTAAAATTGTGATGTAAAATTTTATTATTCTAACGTAATTATTCATATTATTATAACATGTCGATTATTCTTCGTTCGTTTTTGCATCAATTGTATTTTTAAATTATATTGATTCACCTGGACTGAGATATCACGTAGTTCCTATCATTTCTACTTGTCCGTAGAGGAATTGAATAATTATATTAACCAAATAAAAAAAATCATAGTTTATCTATCGAAAGATTACTTTCTTAATTTATTATTCTCACAAACAGAACTGAAAGGCAGCGTCCACAAATAATCTGCAATTTAATAGGTTCACTAATATGATCCATATATCTTCATGCTTTTGATATATATAACCGACTGATTAAATGTGTATCGCAAAGGAGAGACAGACAAACTTAAAAATCGGTATCCAGCGTTCCTCGCCGTCCTGATTCTAGTAATAAATCAATTATGTCGCGAAGAAAGAGAGAAAAAGAGAGAGTGTGTGCGTATGTCTGGAAGCAAGATTAACTTAACTTATACGTGAAAGCACACTGCCGCAATTTTATATAATTGACTGTTGTTATACCTTACGTACATACATATACATATATATATAAATATCTATTAACCGAGACTATTAGCGAGCCGCGATACGTGTCGATCGCGAGGAAGTCCAGAATATGGTCAGTGAGTTAATTCAAGTCAGTTTCTTCCGCTAAAAAAAAAAGTGCGGGTTTCTCGTCCGAAATCGTAAATTAAAATCCTTCGACGACGGAGAAAGTCACGTTTAGTCCCTATTAAATAAATATTACATACTTGGGAGAGTCTAAAAAAAATCGCGCATTTCTATACAAAGATATCTAAATACTAGATATCTAAATACATCCAGAGATATTCATATTTTTGGATCCTGCAGAACATTTGCGTATCTAAGAACGTCCCAAAAATATTTAAAAATAACTATTATAGATATTTAACAAACTTACGCGAGTACTGAATATCAATATTATAAAATCTTCACACAAACATGGAATTTTTCGGAGCGTCAGTTTCGCTTTTCGACGAGAAGAAAACGTGATTAGTAGCTGGTCGAAGGATTGACAAAATAGTGGGAGCTGGTTGAAGAATGTTATTCATCGGGATCGTCGTGCATCCCGAATCCGCAATAATATAATTTTTGCGCTATAAGAGTTCGCTAAAGATAATCTTTTGGTCGAATCGAGCTAAGCGAACGAGCAAAGTAATCCACAGAAGCAGAATAATTTATGCTCTCGACTTTTCTACAATTGATCCCCTCTTATAATTTTTCTTTTCTTTCTTTATATCTCCTTTCTCATGATATCGAAAGACAAAAGACAGAAAAACGAAAGAATATAAATAATATTCTGAGTCTAGTCTCTCATTACAAACTCAGATTCACGATTCGCAAAGCAGATTTATAAAAGATATAGGAACATCTGAAAGAATCGAGTTACATAGATGAAACATTCGGAAAGATGTACAACAAAATTTACGGGGATAGAAAAGAGTCAGTTAAAGACGCACGAGAGCCACGTTAAAAATTCGCAAGGACTTACTTTAATTATAATTGCAAAATGATGAAGATATCGAAAATGAATAACTTACACGAGAAAAAAAATATCGGGCAGTAAACAAATTAGAGGCGTAATGTTTATATAAAAATATAATTTTTACGTGCTCACACATTACCTGATTCTCTCATGCAATCGCATTTCATTTTCATCGATGAATTATTATTATTGTCAGGGAATTCGCGTTAAACAGATTCAAATGCTTGTATTCTCGATTTTAGAATTTATCTCGATTAAATGAATCTTTTTATCGAGATATTTATATAAAAAAACTTGACATGTAGATTTTTAAAATTTGCACTAAACTAACAATTTATGATAAAAAAAATGTTTTTATCGAAAATGAAAACTTTTTAGAGTATTTATATATCTTTCTAAAACTTGATATACCATATTTCCAACATATATTTTAATTAAGCAAATCTTATAATAACAAGAAACATGTATTTTATTTATTACTTTATTTTAATTTTCAATGATCAATTAATATAATCATATTCGCGGTTCCTAATTAAAAAAAAACTATATTAATTTACATTAAAATTTAAAAGGACAAATTTTTGACCAAGTAAATCGATTGTAACTATGAGAGACCCAGCTATGAGAACGCACAAATATTTTTCACATATTTTTAAGCTTAATAATATATCCAGTGCTATTGCGTACTTGATTTGTACATTAAATTATCGCAATGCAATATTAAGAATTATGCATATAAGAAATTTCCAAACATTTATATCGAATCGTGAATACAAGTTTTATGGATCATCGAATCATTAGCACTAACATAAATAAATATATATACGATGGACCACGTTTGTCATACTGAAACGTTTCTAAAAAAAAAGAGAGATAGGGAAAGAAAGAAAGAAAAAGTAAAAATTTTTCCATAATTTTTCTATAAGTTAGAAGCAGAAACGTAGCGGGGCGCATCGGTTTTTCTTCCGCGCTCCGACAGCATAAATTTCGTACGTAAATAAATCATAATTATCAAACTTTCTACAATTAATACTTATATACTATATATATAGTTTTAGCTGTTTCTCAAAGTCCTCGAATCTTTACGAGATTGACAACATCCGCATCGGCGATCGATCCTTCATAAAAACCATCTATCAATCACCGATGATTGATGAAGTACCGTAGATTGAATTGTCTTGGATCGATAAAACGCTATTGAGAAAAAAAGTCGAGAAGGAATTTTAATGGCAGGAAATTAATTCAATCGGATGGATCGATCGCGAATGCGGTCGAACGCTTAGTTTAGCTGATGAGGCAAAAAGTATTTTGCAAAAAAAAATCCATTATATCGCGTATTCTTCGTTTAAGATAATCACGATGTAGTCCAGTAAAATTAGACTTGAAAAGAGCAAAACTTTATAAAAATTAGGAGCAAGCTGAATTTTTGTGGAGACCTTTATTTCGATGTTGTAATAAAATCCTGAAAAGTACCCTTAATTTCATCCAGGGCATTTTTTTAGGGGGTAAATTTTTGTTTTTTGCCATTATATCGAAAACTATCAATTTTTCAAGAAAAATAGTTATCAAAATTGTAGCTTATAAAATTCTCTACAAAAAAGGTCATTATACTTTTTTTCGTGGAATTAATCGTTTCGAAGATATAGAGCAAAGTAAGAGGAGCAGAAAAATCATATTAGAAATATTGCAACTTTACCGCATGTTTTACTTAAAAACGATTAGTTGTACGAAAAAGTATACAGACCATTTTTGTAGAGAATTTTATGAGCTACAATTTTGATAATAACTATTTTTCTCGAAAAATTGATAGTTTTCGAGATAGTAGCAAAAAACTAAAATTTACCCCTTTTTACTCCCCATAAAAAACGCCTTGGATAAAATTAAGTTAAAGGTACTTTTCAGGATTTCATTAGCACATCGAAATAAATATCTCCACAAAAATTCAGCTTGCTCCTAATTTTTATAAAGTCAAAGTCTAATTTTACTGGACTAGATAATATCATCGAGGAATCCCGTGTATAATTTAAGCTGTAACCCGACGATCGGAATCAGATCTGAGAAAAACTCGAGTCTACTCGCCGGTGCCTCCGATTTCGTAATTGCAGAGCGATCGACAGGGCGCGGCGCTTGAAAGAAAAATCTCGAAATAATTTTCAGCTCAGCTTGGCGATTTACGTTGCTCTTCCTTCGTCTTTCCGGATTTCCAGGCAATCCGCGGAGAATCTTTTCCGACGAGATCGCGCGACAAGATCGCGGAAGAGTCGAATTCCTCGAGTCACCGATCGCGACACGACATGTGCAGAGTGTTAGTATTTATGTAAATAGTCGCCGGAAAGTGAAGAGAAAACAGAGAGTAAAATAATGTACTGTCATTCCTTTTGGTGCTCAATGACCCTGAACAGATAATAATAGCTGATAGTCGGTATGTTAACAAAATAAGCGTGGTCATTCCGTCTCGTCGTCGACGTAATTATCATCAATTCGATGCGAAAGATTTCGGTGGCGAAAATGCTGTATCTGACAGCTAATTTTCATGCTTCTTTGTTAAATGTAATATTTTCCAAATTATTACGCAATCATACTATTTGGTAAATTTTTAATGTCATTATAAAACGCGAGCAGCTTTTATGGAAAAATTAATATTATTAAATGTCAAAGTACAATATTTATTTCTAATTTTCTGTAATTAGTAATTATATTTTAATATTAACATACTGAAAAACAATTATTAAATTAATAAATAATTATTTCAATATTGCGTAATAAATTATTTATTCGAAACAAATAAATATTTTTCACATCAGTCAATATTATTAGTTTCAAATCAATGAT